TAACCTCTATGTTCTTCAAAAGAGAACTCTCCTCATCATGCACTTCTTAAGTTATCCTGCACTAGTCTTTATACAGTTATTTTCTTTATATTTGTTAATATAATCATTGTATATTGACCATAAAATGTCTGGTAATTTTAAATTTATTTTGTGACTATAATAATACAATAACAATGAAGATTGTTTTGTGGGGAAGTCTGGTTTAGTCTGTGGCAAAAGTAAAGACACTAGAATTTGAGAAAAGTGACAGCAGTTAATATCACTCAAAAAAGAAAAATTACTGTCAACATTAGCATAATACATTGTAATATTGTACACCAAGGAAAGCTTTCTTAATGGTTTCATGTATATAAAAGGTTGTCTTAATTAAATTTGTTCTTAGGCTTTATCTTAAGTTTTGTATCATAGGACAGAATTTGGAAAATATGCCATTTACTGCCAACGATGTGTAGAAAGAACGCAACAGAATGGAGATCGAGAAGCAAGACCCTCAAGAATGGAAATCCTTTCCACCCTTCTTCGAAACCCGTATCATCATTCTTTGCCCTTCAGTATCCCCGTACACTTCATGAATGGGATATATCAGGTAGATTAGACTTTCTACCCAATGAAAACATGCTTAGTCTAGAATTCTAAGTGCACTCTGTGGAACTGGGAAGTGAGACTGTCTCCCTATTTCTGTCAGCTCCTGGCAGTGATAAATATGCAAATGTATTAGACCTTCTGTCAGGACAGCTGAGTTGTGAAACAGTTTTGCTAAAAAGGATTCACACTAAAAAAATCCATAATTGAAAAAAAAAAAAATCCATAATTGAACCAAATAAGGGAGGAGTTTCACTGCCATTATAATTCTGATGGAGAAAAACAAAAAGGTTGAGGCCTTTCCCCACCTGGGTACCGGCTAGGTGAGGAAATAATTACTAACGTGTGGGATGTGTACAGGTTTAGTCTCTTTAAAGTCTCCAGATCTCAGGAATTATCTGGGAAAACTGTCCAAGCCCTCCCAACTCAGATCTAAATGCTTGCTTACTAACTCAAGCAAACATGTTCCAAAGCTAGCAATTAGTCTTTGTAGCTCTAAGCCTTTTATCACGGAATTCAGATACTTAACTGCATATTAAAGAAACAAAAATTAAATGTGTTTATTTTTTTTCCTTTGCTTAAAGATTACATATTGCACTGTAGTTCTTGGTTTGCTTCTAATGGGCAGGCATAATATCTCTGCAAGATGTTTGCAGCTGTCAAATGATCTTTCTATTTTGAATTCATGTCTGTTGGCTGAATCCAAGATTTCTGAATTCTTACATCAAGCTAATGACTAAGATGACATTAAATTTCTCCAGCGGAGCTTTGGAAAAAAAGTTAAAACACCTAGATAAATATGTTATCATTAATCATGCATCAAGAATGCCCTGTTTCCCCCCTGAAATCTGTTTGAAATGTTTGTACCTTTTTATTAAGAGAACGACTTTGTTATTTCTGTTTAGGTAGTTGGATTTGATGCATCCACCACAGTGGAAGAATTTTTGAATACTTTGAACCAGGATACAGGGATGAGGAGGCCAGCACAGTCTGGATTTGCATTGTTCACAGATGATCCTTCTGGCAGGGATTTAGAGCATTGTCTTCAAGGAAACATCAAGGTAAAACCAACTCCTTTTAAGGAGGCAGACCCAGAAAACAGCAAAGAAGCTACTCTGCTATTGGCAAAAAGTTTAGCTCAAGAATTTTCCAAAAATTTAAGCAATCTAATTTTCATAATAAAAAAAAATATTGCAGGACTTTGTTAAGCCGTAGAATTCTTAATACGATCTGCACACACACATACTCCATGTTAAAGAGAGGAAGAGGATTAATAATAGTAATAATACCCTAAATATTAGGGTAAAAAGCATGGAGGTGTGGAAGGTCTAATAAAATGGCCTTCCATTTTACTCATTCACTCAGCAATATTCATGGAAGTGTTTATTGTGTCCCAGGAGCTGGTCCAGACCCTGTGGGTTATACAAAGAAGGTCGAGAAATTGTCCCTGCACACAGTGAACTTCTAATTTGCTTAGGAAAGAGTAGCCTTATACACTGATAACCTTCAGTCTGAAAGTGATAAATATATAAAGAGCGAGGTGAACATTCTACAAAGGGAGAGATTAAGTTCAGATTGGAAATTAGGGAAGAGCTCAACTGGTCTTTGAGGGATTGGTAGAATATGGACCTGTGGAAATAAAGAGATTCCAGACATAAGGAAAATCATGAGCAAAGACAGAGAATTGGAAGATTCTTTAAAAATGTTTTCTAGGTCATAGTAAAATAACTGTAATAAAGTTTCCATCTAGCATTGGCAACAATTAAAAATATAGAATATAGAACCACAAGGAACCTTAGAGAAATAACCCACTTATTTTGCAAATGAGGAAACTGAAGCCCAGAGTGAAAAATGATTTATGGCAAATCAAACGGCTAGAACCAGGTCTGGACCCTCTTACCTGATGTGGTCCTTGATTGCTCTTGGGAATAAGTACCTTGTTATGGAGTAAAGGTATTTCTATGATTTGGAGATTAAAGAATTGGGGCAAAGCAAGGGACACACCCATGAGTTTAGAACATATGAAATATCAGTACTTTCATCTAACTCCCAGAAGCCCAGCTCCACTTGCAAAACGATCTGTTGGGTCTCCATGGGGTTCCGCAGACTATGTTAAAGTTCATACTTAGTTCCTTAGGAGTACTGGTCAGAAGATAGGATTTCCACCTCACTCCACCCCACCCCTGCCTTATTTCTTCAGCTGCATTTTGAGACATCTAGATAAATGAATGTCTTTTTCTTCTCAGCTCCAAATATATCCTGTTTAGATCAACAATTCCAAATGTAAATTTTTTTTTTTTTTTAAAGAGAGGTTGCAATTTTAATTAATTAATTTATTATTTATTTATGGTTGTGTTGGGTCTTCGTTTCTGTGCGAGGGCTTCTCTAGCTGTGGCAAGCGGGGGCCACTCTTCATCGCAGTGCTTGGGCCTCTCACTATCACGGCCTCTCTTGTGGAGCACAGGCTCCAGACACGCAGGCTCAGTAGCTGTGGCTCGCGGGCTCTAGAGTGCAGGCTCAGTAGCTGTGGCACGTGGGCTCAGTAGATGTGGCTCGCGGGCTCTAGAGCGCAGGCTCAGTTGTGGCGCATGGGTTTAGTTGCTCCACAGCACATGGGATATTCCCAGACCAGGGCTCGAACCCGTGTCCCCTGCATTGGCAGGCAGATTCTCAACCACTGCGCCACCAGGGAAGCCCCAAATGTAAATTTTTGAGACAGACATTCCTTGAGCACTGTTAATAATTAGTCAAGAAGATAAGCTAGTATTTTTGGTTGGCTTGAGCTGAGTAAATGTTAGGGGCTTTGGTGAATAACTGCTTATCCCATAATTCTGAAAACTGTTATTTATAATTCTCAAATGACCAGTTTAAAAAAAAAAAACAAACATTTATTTGGTTCCTGAAGAATTTTTGTTCTTTCCCAATCAAAAATCTTAACATTATATTTCAGATTTCTTTGGTATAACTTCAGTTATTCCAATCTTTATTAACTCAGAAGGTAGGAAGTTGCTTCTTCAGTGACTAAATCATGAAAAAATTCCTGGAATCTTCTTGTTTCCAGTCTCATGCAGTCCTTCATTAAGATTCCTTTTTGAGTAAAAAATTCATGGCCATAGTCCAAAGTTAATGTGTGTCCAAAAGGATAAGAGGACCAAAGAGTGATTTATAATTAAATTCTAAACTCAGAGCTACAGAAGCTTAAAACAGAAAGCATCAGTCCATTTGGTTTGATCACATTAATTGAAAATTTTCAGTCTATAGACATGTTTGTCTTCAAAAAATACCCAATGTGAAAAATATTATGAATCTCCATTTTCCACTTCCCTTCTAGATTTGTGACATTATCTCTAAATGGGAACAGGCTTCTAAAGAACAGCAGCCCGGGAAATGGGAAGGTACGAGAACTGTTCGTCTCACTTATAAAAACAGGTGTGTAATGCCATCGCCAAGTACCAAAGTGGGAGTATGCATCTATGTTCAAATCATGCACCTACAATTTAGTTTCCTATTGAATAGCCTTAAAAATTATATTCATCTATATGTTTTCTTATAAATGGTAACTGTTTCTGTAGGAAGAGGAAGAAACTGTCACATAAATTTTTTTCTCTAATTCTAGTTTGTTAAAGTCATAAATAATTATATTTTATAAAAATATGCAGTTGGACAAAGATTAGAAAAAAACTATAGGAAAATATAGCTGCTCTCAGGGTAGTTGATAAAATTTTTCACTTTCAATATTTCCTTTAACACTATTATTACATTTTTTCATAAGACTGAATACTCAAATACCCTACTGCAGATCTGTAGTAAGAAGTATTTGTTTACCCAAGTCTTTCAGAAGTGATATATTCATATCCATTCATTCTTATTCTTTCATATTCTCTCTTCCTCTGTATTTATTGAGCTTCAACTATAAGCCTGGCACTTAGCTAGATGCTCTGGGTAAAATGATAATAAAAACAAACACAGGGGCTTCCCTGGTGGCGCAGTGGTTGAGAGTCCGCCTGCCAATGCAGGGGACACGGGTTCGTGCCCTGGTCCGGGAAGATCCCACATGCCACGGAGCAGCTGGGCCCGTGAGCCATGGCCGCTGAGCCTGCGCGTCTGGAGCCACAACGGGAGAGGCCACAGCAGTGAGAGGCCCGTGTACTCCAAAAAAAACAAACAAACAAACAAAAAAAACACAATCCTTGATCTTTTGGAATTTACAGGCTAGTGAGGAAGACGGTTGCTAATTTTACAATGACTCTAATGAGTATATAATAACATATTAAGTTCTCTGAAAGAAAAGAGCATGGTTCTGTGAGAGCACATGACAAGAATCCTGACCTAGCCTGGAGACTTCGGGAGGCTTCTTTAAGGAAATGATGCTTATGCCCACGTCAGAAGGGCGCTGAGAGTGGAAATGGATGGAAAAGGATGTTCAAAGCCTGTATAAGGAGGTTGTGCAGTGTTTCAGGAACTGGGAAAAAGCTGGTAGGGCTGGAGCACTCACTTTCTCAACTGATACAATTTTAAAAGACTTTGGCAAATGATCAGAAATCAGGTTTTCTTTCTTTCTTTCTTTCTTTTTTTTAATATCTTCTTTTCTTCCATGTATTAGTAGAAGGTGGTATTTAATAAAGAGTGTTCACTGACCAGGTCATATTAACTGTACAACAACAGCAAAAAAAGTAAAAAAAAAGTATTTTCTTATTTTATTTGACTCATATCCCATAAAGTAAGGAATCTAAAATATCAGACCAAGAGCCTGGTAGAATTATTGGTGAAGTGTTGACTTCTTTCAGAAGGCTATTTTTGGAATATGTTCATAGATCTGAAATTGGGATATGAGAAGTAAGGGTACTATATAACATAAAGAATGTTACAGCCTTTGACCCAGTTCAGGATCTCTTTTTCTGATACTTTATTCCACAGAAATACCTGCATAAGTGGGCAAGAATATTCCAGTATTCTTTATAACAGTGAAAAATAAGTGTTGTAGGGGGCACTTAAGTTTATCAATAGGGGAACAGTTAAATAAATATTGTGCATTCATATTGTGGATTCCTCTTACACACTCAGACATTGAAGGGTCACCACTGTTTGAACAGACTCCTTTGATCTGAATAAATGGTGGTTTTGAGCCATGAGAGCTTCCCTGTTCAGGGGTTCATGAGCTGAGGTGATTCGCAGGAGTTCTGGGTAACGAGAAGGTAACTGTCAAGCTTTGGTATATAAGGTTTTAAAATCTCATATTCGTAGAGATAAGCAGGATTATTTAGATACTAGAAATCTAATAGGCCGTACTCCGAGAGGAACCTGTCTCCACTGATGGCAGTCTTCATCTGTGGCCCTTTGGTGACTGGCAAGAACAGCAGCTGGAAGACGTGGACCTTCCAGATGATTGTTTTAGTTTTGTGATCGCTGGAGCAGTGGTTCTCAGAGTGTGGGCCCTGGATCTGCAGCTTCAGTATCACATGGAAACATGTTGAAATGCAAATTATTTGGCCCCATGTCAGACCTACTAAGTCAGAATGTCTGGGGATAAGGCCCAGGAGTCTGTTTTAACAACTCTCCAGGTGATTCTTACTCATGCTAAGTTTTGAGAAGCACTGATCCAGAGGTCCGTGTTGCTGCCTGTGTCTGTTGTGGAAGGAAGCCAGCTCCTGGACCTGACCTGCCATATATCTTTATGTAGAAGAGGTTCAGGAATTCTCATTTGGTCTTGTTGGCACTAAGTGGAATTACGTCCATGTCTAAGACTATTCCTAACACTGCATAGCTTATGAGTGCTGAATACATACTGATTTTGACTGTGATGGCCACAGTTGGAACCAAGATTAAACGGATGAAATGGAGAAAAGTGGTCTGAAAGACACAAGAATACTGTGCCAAGTCTAGCAAACACCACCAGGGAGGACAAAGACAGTCATGAATAACACAATGCCTTGTTAACAACAACAACAAAGCTTTACGACAGTATCTTTGACATCAGAGAAAAAGCAACTCAATCATAATGTTAAATTTTTAACAGAAGTCTGAAATGGCTGGATAGCCACATCTATGAGAAAGTACTGTTTCTAAATGTGGTTGTGATTTGCACATGTGTAAAATAGCTTAGACAATGAGCCCTAATTTCCAGTGACACAGTTAGGAGGGGAGCTGGCTGTGACCTACCATGCAGCTGCGGACTTGATTCTTCATCTGTCAGGCAGCACTGTAATAAGCAAAACTAAAGCAACAGCTCTCTTTATCATGGAATTTTTGCTTATATTTAGTAAGTTATGGAATTTTAATTATTTAGATTTAGGGGTTAAGGATCTAATTAATAGGTTTTGAACTTGTTCTCATAGAAAAGCATTTGGTAACTAACATTTAAATTCTATTCATATTTAAGCCACTTATTTAATTTGGTTTCTTACTGTCTATTTGAAATTGCAAAATCAAAGCATGTTTTTAACAAAACAAAACTGGCAAGGGTCTTTCTCTACAGAGAACAACTCTTCCTTCTCCCCTCTTTGAAACGAAAGATTATTTTCCATAATTCTTTGTTACTGTTTTCTGGAACATAGTTTAACATTCCCATCTCTGCCACCTTTAGCTGACTGTAAGAGCACCTATATCCATTGGATCCTAAGCCAAGAAGCCTCTTAACAGGTCACCTAGTTTATCCCATTTCTTCCAGCTGTGTTCACACGAAAAAAAAAAAAAAATTCTAGTATGAAGAGACTTGTGATTCTAAAGACCTCTAGAGAAGACTCATCATCATCGTAATAGTAATAATAATAACTACCACCAATATTTATTGAGCACTTACCACATGCCAGACCCTATGCTGAGCTGTTTACATGCATCATCTCATTTAATCCTAACAACACCTCTAGGTAGGTGTTATCATTAATCTCCATCTTATAGATGAGGAAACTGAAGCTTTAGAGAGTTAACTCATTTACCCAAGGCTACAGAAGGGATTTTTCAGTGTTTTTTTGGCAAATAGTTTCCATAGGTAACAATTCGCACCACCATTCATTTACCCATTCATGCCGTAAACATCTATCCAGTGTCTGCCAGTGCCAGGCCTTGTTGAAGCCCTAGAGATTCAAAGGTGAATAGAATTTTCTTTTCCTCTAGAAATCTTATAGTTTATAGGGAGAGACAGACATGAATTCTTAGCAATGTGATTAATGCTGTAACAGTGACAGTATAGCAAAATAGTGAAGAACATGGGCTCTGGAGAGAAACTGCCAGGTTAGAATCCTGGCTCCCCCACTCACTCTGTGACCTTGAACAAGTCACTCACCATCTCTGTGCCTCAGGTCCCCTCTACATGAAGTGGAGATGAAAACAGTACCTACCTTTAGGGTTGCCTGAGGGACTAAATGTTGGCAAGTGTAAAGCACTTGGATCAGAGCCTAACACATAGTAGATACCCCAGCGATATTCGCTCTTATTGTAAATATAGCATGTCTGTTTACAAGCTGTTGTGCGAGCAGAGAGGAAGCCTTCTCACAGTGGTGACTTCTGAGCACAGGACTTGTGGTAGCCATAGATGCCAGAGGAGAACAGGGAAGGGGCGTCACAATTGCAGATTTCATAGTGTTATTAGCAGACCATGGTGGACAGAGGAAGGAAGGAAGGTAAATGGAGAGTGAAGGCAGGCTGCTTCCTCAGTAAGTTTACATGATGATGAGAAAGGCAACAGTAGGAAATAAATGCTCTGAGGACTGAAATATGGAGCCGGTTGGAGGCAAGCAAAAGGATTACCCAGCAGTGCCGAGAGCTCTGCTGAACTTGGAGCAGTGTGTTTGCTGATACTGGTCCACATAGTGACGTGATTTCCATCCCACAGTGTTCAGCTTCCTGGATGTCAAGTGAGGAGGTGGGCATTTGGGAATGCCCCGGCCTTCCAACGTGTGCCCTCCCTGCTGGGACAGAAGCCCCTTTCTCTGCTTCAGGCCCCTTTAGGATTGGAGAGCAGCTGGAAGCTGGTCATATTGGGAGAGACTCAGATCATGTAACCCCGGCACCTTTCCTACTCAAGATCCGTGGATTTGATTTTCTGACTTCCTGATCATTTTTGTGACTCTTTAGTTCCTCTTCACATTCTCTCCAAATCCCTGTATAGCTGTTGGAGCCCAAACTGTTCCATTAGGGGCTTGAGCCTATGATTCCTACAGGTTGTGTTCCTATATGTGTGTCTGGAATTGTTTTTCTCTTTTGTGCCTATAGTGCTTCATTTTCCCTTCCCAGGTGCAGTCTTACTGGCATGCCAGAAGTGATAGAAAATGCACTTTAGCTCTTCTTGCCTGTAGCCATTTGAACTACAGGTTCTTTTTTCCCTCCTAGCTGTATTACTAATTCAAACTTTTACTAAGAACCTTCCAGTGGTTAACACTTAGCTAAAAAAAAACCCTAGTGCATTACAGTGATGAATAAGACATAGTTCTTAACTTCAAGTGGAGAAAATAAGCTAAGTACAAGGACATTCACATGCCAGAAAGGGAGGGCTTTCATCTTAAACTTTATTCTCTTTATTTTATATCCCTTTGCTAACACCATTTTGAATTTAGAATCTATTTCTATTGCCCAGCCATATTCTCCTACCAGTTAACAATTTACCATCATGCAGTCACAGATAATTATTTTATCAAGAAACCATGCTGGGGCTTCTCTGGTGGCACAGTGGTTGAGAGTCCGCCTGCCGATGCAGGGGACACGGGTTCGTGCCCCGGTCTGGGAAGATCCCGCGTGCCGTGGAGCGGCTGGGCTCGTGAGCCATGGCCGCTGAGCCTGCGCGTCTGGAGCCTGTGCTCTGCAGCGGGAGAGGCCACAGCAGTGAGAGGCCCGCGTACCGCACAAAAAAAAAAAAAAAAAGAAAAAGAAACCACTCTGAATGATGGCCCAGGCCAGTGATTCTTAAGCTGGCGTGAACGGAAAGAATAATCAGAACGATGGGGAGGAAGAGCTTTTCAAAGTACACCCCCGTGCTTCACCCAAGATTCTGACCTGCTGCCCTCTCATTCCTTGCTATTTGAGGTAATTACCACGAAAGATTCCGTAACTGATGATAGGGTGTCCTCTCCCTATCATCAAGTGGATAGCGGAAAAAAGGCTGGAAATCCAGTTATAGCTAATTGAGCACACACTTAACAAATGCCAGATCTAAATCTCTGTTTTCCTGCCACTGTGTTGTCATGACAATATTAAGGTATGTCACGGTGCTGCTTACCCACCCCACTGTCACAGCATTTACAGGGTTTACAGTGCTCTGTGCCTGCTCTGCAGCCTGGAATCAGAGCCCCAGAAACCTCACATACCAAGAAACAGCACAGTGATTAAACACAGAGGGTCACTGAATTGAGGAAAACCTAGGCGAACAAAAGTCATGTCATGTTTCAACAGATAATAATGGTAACATGTAAACTATTTTTGAGATCCTAAGGCTGTGTATCAGAATGTGGCATAAAAAAGTCAAAACACTTAAATGTGCAAATATTATCTTTTAGATTCCCAGAGAAAACTGCCCCACTTGACCATTTGATGTTGATTTTGAATTGAAACCTTCCTTTTCTATTCCCTGGTGTGTCCAAGGTGTTTAGGAAAGATCATGGGTGTTTTGAAAACTGGGTTTATACAGCCCACTGGTGTCTGAGGTCCTTCCTCAGTAACATCTAAGGTATTAAGGTATTTCAGGGCATAAAGGTAGCATAGAAGCATCCATCAGCCTCAACTTCAAAGCAGTTTTTCCTCAGTTTGCTGATAAACGTTATAAAGAATAGAAATAGAGGTCATTAACCGATAGTAATGGTCTAAGTTTGTATCATTGAGAGAACTATTGTTAGAGCAACCCCATATCAGTCCTCTGGATTTCTCTTTACTTTTTTCCTTTGTAAGCAGATCATTTAATGAAAAATTTCCTCTTTTTTTACAGACTGTATTTCTCAATGCAAGCTCATGGAGAGACTGATAGAGAAAAGCTGCTCTTAATGTATCAGACAAATGATCAAATAGTAAATGGACTTTTTCCTCTGAACAGGGACCTGGCGTTAGAAATGGCAGCTCTTTTAGCTCAGGTAACTTCCATGTTATATAGAGCGATGTTTTGTAATGATGAAATACTAATTTCTCCACTGAATTAAATGTAGTAAAACAATATACCTTTCGTAATTCTTTAAATTCAATTTGCTGTGATTAACACCTTAAACATTACAGGCATTATAATTGCAGCCTGACTCCCATTGCTGACAATTGCGGTGATGTAGAATGAGACCTTATTCCATAAAAGGAACCTAGTTTCTTAATCTCTTGAAAATATCCCACTAGGCTTTGCATTTAATAAAGGAGTTTGAGTGTCGAGCTGTGGGGTTACGGTTGCCATGCTAAAATCGTTCAGTAGTCAAATAGGATCAGTCTTCTAAAAAGCTAAAGCAGGAGCTTTGGCTTCCCTGGTGGCGCAGTGGTTGAGAGTCCGGCTGCCAATGCAGGGGACGCGGGTTCGTGCCCCGGTCTGGGAAGATCCCACATGCCGCAGAGTGGCTGGGCCCGTGAGCCATGGCCGCTGAACCTGCGCGTCCGGAGCCTGTGCTCTGCAACGGGAGAGACCACAACGGTGAGAGGCCCGCGTACCGCAAAAAAAAACAAAAACAAATAAAAACAAATAAAAAGTGCTAAAGCACTTTCTTTTATTTACCTGTTGTATCAATTAAGTTCAGTTGGCTGTAAACCACACATGCATGCAAATTAATAATGACAGTTAAAATGGAAGTGTTATTTGTCTCTCATATGGAGTGTTGGGGCCCAGGGCAGTGTGCCCCCAAATATGCCTCAGTGGCATATTGATTATTTTTAATTAAAGTTACTTGAGAAACAGCTGGTGAAAAAAAATGATATATATTTAAAAAACACTCTGACCTCCCTCTTTTCCCTTAAAAGCAGGAAATAAATCTTCCCATGTGAAAGTATCCTCCCTCTATCAGGAGGATAAAAAGCATCCTTGTCAACAGAGTTAGGGAATTCAAGGCTAAGAAAGCTGTATAAACAAACTTTGTTGCTTTTTCACTAATCTGCTATCCCAAGCACAAACCCCTTTGTTTTGTTAAATCTTCATAAATAATTGTTTCTTTGTCTAAAAATGATGTATAAACAGCCTGCTTTGGTCATTTCAGGGGTCCCATTTCTATGAGACCTCTGTGCGTTCAATTGTTTTTTTTTCTCCTGTTAATCTGTTTTGTGTCAGTTTCATTATTAGACCAGCTAAGAGAACCCTAGAGGGGTGGGGTGGGGGGGAAATCTGCCCCTCCCCAGCGAGAGATAGGCATGCTGGCGCCTCTACAGGCATTAGGGGCATGGGCTTTATCCTGCCCTCCATTCTGCTGTCATCTTCACGGTCCTGGAGGTCTGCCAGAGCTCCAGCCATTACATCAGTGTTCCAGGCATCATAATGGAGGAAGGAGTGAAGAAGGGCATGCCCTCCTGCTTTTGAGAAACTTCCCAGCAGTTACACAGAATGCTTCTATTTATGTTTCTCTGTCAAAACTTAAGTCACACGACCTTGCCAACCTACAAGAGAGACTGGAGAATGTGGTCTTAGCTGGGCAGCAGTGAGCCCAGCTAAATTCAGGGTTTTTATTATTCAGAAAGAAGGAGAGAATGGTCATAAGAGACAACCCACAGTCTCTACCCCATCTGGGTCTTTGCACAAGTTAATTAAGGGAAAATGATGTGTCGTTGGCTTAGATTCCCCAGTGTTTTCAGTCTTCTCACTCTACATACCATACCAGGACATCTTACTCATTCTCTTAATTTTATCTACCACCTGTGCTGATGATTCCCAAATCTTTTCTCTCCAGCTCATATTTCTTTCATGGGCTCCTTAAATTCGACATATCGGGAACTAATCATCTTCCCTTCTTTTCCTTCACATTTTGCATATTCACTGCCTCCATTCAGTCCTCCAAGCAAGCTTCAAATCCAGGAATCATCACTGACTCTGCCCTCCCTCTCTCCCTTTCCCCCAGTTAAAATGTGCCCTGCGCATTTTAACTGTTCCCTCCTCTCCATGCTGACCACCATTGCTATGGTTCAGACCATCATCACATCCTGCCTGCTCTCTTGCATCAGGATTCTAACTAATGTGTTTTTCTCTGGTCTGATCCCACACACACTTCTATCCTCCATGCATAATCTAGAGAGATTGTTCCAATTACCTATTGCTGCATGGCAAATGACTCCAAGACTCGGCTCAAAAGGACAATTTGGGCAGAGGTATAGGGGCAGCTTGTCTCTGCTTCATATGGCATCAGCTGGCATAGCTTGTAGACTGGTTGTGACTCTACAGCTGAGGGCTGGAATCATCTGAAGGCTCATTCACTCACACGTCTTGTGGCTGATGCCAGCTCTTACTTGGAACTTCTGCTGGGGAATGTCAGCCGGAAGACCTACTCGTGGCCTCTTAAAGTGGTTGTTTGTGCTTCCTCACAGAATGGTGGTGGGGTTGCAAGAGCTGTCCCAGAAGAGACAAGATGTGGAAGCTGCCATTTTCTAAGGTCTGGGCCTAGAAACTGCCGTGGTGGTTTGTCAGGCAGCAGTAATATACAGTAACTGGAATGGAGATACAGCAAAAATGTGAATCTAGCTGTGTCATTCTCTTTACATGGAGGGACTGTCATGATCTAAACTCTGCCTGCCTCTCCAGCCTTATCTTTTAATACTCTCTCCCTTGAACTTTATGGTCCTGAGTTGTATATGATTCACTTATTCTTAGCTATTAAACTTTACTTGTCTCCTGTGCTTGGAACACCTCTACTCCCATGCCTCTACCTGTGAACTTCAGCTTATCCTTTAGTTTTCATCTTAGGGGTCACTCATTCCAGAAAAACCTTCTTGAATTCTGCCTGGTTGGGTTAAATGTTCCTCTTAGGGTTTCTGTAATGCCCTGCACATATCTATTACTGTCCTGACCCCAGTGGTTTATTATTAGTTATTTGTTTCTGCTTTGCACCACTGACTGGGGCCTTCCTGAGGGCAAGGGCTCTCTCTGTTCATGTTTGTATCTAGCACAGTGCCTTACACACAGTCCATTCTCCATAAATGTTCTTGGATGAATGACTAGTTGATAATTTAGTTTACTTTCATAACAATTTTATGGTCATGCAGACTTTAAAGCGTTTAGTGCTACACTGAGTGTTCCCTTTTTGCAAGTGATAAAAAGCTGAAGAAATGAGAACTAGGTCACATTTTTTCTTGGTGATAGAATTAGGAATGATTTCCTATCGCATGCCATTCTAGGCTTTGGTTCTCTAAAGGCACAGATGCTCTGTTAAAATCACTCTTATTTTTGCTAAAATTTAAGTTCATCTTCTTACTTTTTAATTTTCTGGGGAAAGCTTCTCCAAGAAAAATTATCATATCCTTTGGAGATACACACTTCTAATATTTTTTAGATGAATTTTCGGAAGGGGTAGAAAGGTAAAACCATACACCTAGAAAATTCTGAGCATATTACTAACTAAAAAGTATAATTTCTCCATCTACAAAAGGAAAATTAAATAATACCTCTGGTCTCTTCCTCAGAGTAGTTTTTGTGAAGATAAATGAAGAAGAAACTATTTTCTTCTGTAGAAGAAAATAGTTATTTCTGTTGTAGATTTGCATATCTATAGGTCCTTGTTGATATTCTCTGTCTTAATCAAGAAATTCTTGCAGCTGATGTTCTGATTGCTGTACATGGTGTCTGGTAAGGGGTCATGTTGATGTGAGGCATATTGGGGATTATCTGAGTTGATTCTCCAAACATTTGGAGTTGATTCTCCAAACATTTATTTTGCTCATTCTGTGCCACACAGTATGCCAGGAGCCAGAGAGGGAGACCCTGAGCTTGAACATCCCACTGCAGGGTTCCCTAACAGCCAAGCTTGCCTTAAGTGGCCTCTATGTTTGTAACTATTGTTTGTCCAACTGCCATATCCTTAGAGGTTAAATCCTGGTCCAAGGGTTTACAGCTAGCTGTGCTGAGTACTGCCTGGTGATAGGTGGGGACAATGAAAAGCTTGCTCTGGGGGAAGGATTTCCATGTATTTGAAGAGCAGATGGACAACTTTTATTTGGTGTGAGGAAATTAAGATGATACCTGACTAGATAGGAGATGAGGGTGAAAAAACTAACAGCAAAGCCAAGCCAAGAAACCATCAAGTAAGGGACCAGGTCAAAGAAACTAGAAAGTCATAAGAACAGACTGTAAGGGCAAAGCTCAGCTGAGGAATTTAGACAGTAGCTGGTCAGATTAAGAACTAGATAAGGGAGGTCACAGGGGTCAGAATCTCAGAGGCTGGTTGTGCTAACAGCTTACTTGAAGGCAGAGGGCCCTTTTGAGATGGAGACCCAGGGCTTTCTGTAAGACCATCCCAGTCTTGATGGAACCCTCCATCTGTTTGCTGGGGAGTACTCTAGGTAAGGATGTGGATGTTCAGTATGTCCCCCACCCCATCTCACTTGTTGAGCCCTCTTTGGTACCCTATACAAAGCATTTAACACAGATTATCACAAGTATTTATTTATTCTTCAGTCTCCCCTACTAGACAGTAAACTCTTTGAGGATAGGAACTATGTTCAGCTTTTTTCTTTCTCATATGAATTAGCACAGTGCCTGGCATATAACAGGGACTCAGTATAGGTTTGGGTGAATGAATGGGTGGGAGAGTAGATGGAGAGATGGATGGGTGAGTGGTTGGCTGGGTTGGTAGAGGATGGCATCTGTGTAGCCTGTTAATGGAAGTAATGACTGAACATTGTTTCATTCAGGGAAAAGGGGGAATGAAGGGCTTTGTTTCCAGAAATGACAGAATAATAGATTGAGGGGATGAATACAGTAACATTTATGGAGAAAATCTAGGAAGAAAGTAATGAGAAAATAGTACTTGCTCCCATGATGTTCGGTAGAGATCCTGAAAAAGTCCAAGTAATACTATTTAAAGATTTTTCATAGCTTTATAAGTTTTTAATTTTTCACTTCTAACTTCTATTTTGCCTTACTATTATCAACCAAAATGGTACCTTAAAAATGAAAAATTATCTGGTGCTGTTACAGGAATGGTAGAGTAAGTGGCCTTTAGCAAATACTACCAGATATTAACCTAGAGTGATTAATGTAGAAATGAAACTGGAATGTTTAAATTATAGATTTTTTTCATAATTAGACTTCAAATGAAATTTAAATTTAAATAATAGTATTTACATATGATTGTAAATTCCATAATCACACAATCATGACAAATAGATTTATATATTGTATGTTATAAAGAATGTTTAGAAAAAAGAAGCTAATTTTCTTTCTTAAAATTCTTTTTTAATATCCTGTATTTTCTCTTTTTTGGGTTTCCACTTAGGTGGAGATTGGAGATTTTGAAAGACCTTTTTCTACTCCAGCAGGGCATGTTACTAATCAGTACAAAGCAAATCAAACTATAAAACAACTCATAGAGAAATTTTATCCTAAAAGGTATAGAGATGACTCTTCTGAAGAACAGTTAAGGTAAAGAACTATTTGTAACTCTTAAAAAGGCAGATGCACACTAGTTTTTCAGTGACATTTTTCTGTTCAAATTTTAAAGATAAAAAAATTGTACATAACAATTTTCTCAGGATTTTTTAAATACTGTTGAATACCAGGAGGTTATAGTTCTTTTTATTTAAGATGTGCCTAGAAACTTTTTTTAATGAGAAAAAAAATCTACCTTAATTTAGAAGATCTGCTTTTCATTTGACCTTATTCATTCTTGTCCAAATTAGTCGTGCTAATAAAGAAAAGGAAAAAATTGGCTAATAAGATGTTTAATTTTATTAAGTGTTTACCAAAAAATTTTTATCTCTTAGGGTATTCCATTATAAACAAATTGGACTAAAAATAAACTATCTTCTTACACAAGAGTTTTAATTATAGTATAAAATTTTAATTAAACTGAACTAATTTGAAGTTTTGATTTTTGAGACCATATAAAGAAAAGCTGTAGATTCAAAAATAGAGGCAAATCCAATTCACCATGAATTTTTCCAAATCAGAAACATTTGAGATCAGTTTGTTGTCTGTGTAGAATATAAGTGGTTGCCTTCGTACTTCTGTTTGAGAGGTTTCCCCTGCAGCTAGCGTCTCTCCAAACCAGGAGTGGTAGCACCTAAAATTCCACTGTTGGGGATTCTTCTTCAGTCATGACTTCTTGTACTTTTCTTTAAAAATGAAAGTTATTCCCTTTTAAACTAATTTATGTGGTTTGATGTTAGCTTATCAGATTTTAAAATTTTACCTAAAGGGGGTGGGGAGCGGGGAACTTAGGTCATACATACTGAGAGCACTAACCGTAGGAGAATTTGGTGGAAGGAATGCTACAAAAAGGACAAGGGGTAGACAGTGGTGAGATGGGACTCACAAAACAACAGCTTCACCTAGGTTGTGAGGATGTCTCCCGGGGGTGCTCAGGATCGGCTCAAGGAGAGCTTTATCTTGGGAGGATGATACACTGTTTATGTGTTTTTCTTCTGTGTTTTTGTTTTTGTTCTTTTCTCTTTTTAGGCAGCTTTGCCAGCGACTGTCAACCAGATGGATGGCCCTCCGGGGACACAGTGCTGCTGATTGTGTGCGAATCTATTTGACAGTAGCCAGGAAGTGGCCATTCTTTGGTGCCAAATTGTTTCTTGCAAAAGTAAGAAAGAATGGGGGGCTATTCAGTTCAGTAAAATATAAAGTGATAACCTGAGTAACCCCAGGTTTAGTACATTTGGCTTTTTAAAAGGAAATAAGGAAATTTCTAACAATTTAAAGAAAACCATGAAGGGACACTAAGGAAAGGGAAGGAAAGCCATTAGCGTCTCTGTCTTTTCCCTTCCGTTCCACTTCCCCGTACCGTAAAGCATTTCTTACACTCAGTAGGCTTAATCATTAGACTGAAGACAACAGCTCAACTCTGCTTTCTTCTCTTTATTCATTCATCCATTCACTCATTTACTCTGTCACTCATTTTGCTCATTCATTTAGTATTTATGACTTCTGTTTGCCAAACATTGAGCTAAGCTCTAGGGATACATAAGCCCATGGTTTCAGATAGGTTGTACTCACACTTCCAGGAACTCACAACCAGTATTGCAATAGGCCTGGAAACAACTACTGTGTGGAGAATATGGTTAAGGGTGACATGAACAGAGTGATGCCGGAACACTGAAGAAGGAGAGATGAAACCTGCTGGGGGTTAGCTTAAGAGGCCTGTCCAAATGCACATGTTAATAAATGGCAGATCTGGGTCTCAAAGCCAGGTCTGCTAGTTCACTCCTCTTTCCATTATACCACACTGCCTGCTCCCCAGGTGAGATTTTTAATAACAAGATGTTGTTGTGTTATTGCAAATGCTGCATTGCATTTACACTGAAAAATATTTCTGTAATTTTGCTTAGCATTTATTATGTAGTGTATTTTCACCTCTTCATAGCCCATAACCCCATCATCACTTGGAAGTACTTTCATGTGGCTGGCTATACATGAGGATGGTTTAAGCATCTTAGAATACAACTCCATGGTAAGATTAAATCCTTAAGTTCTGCATTGAGTCGACTATTTCCATTGCTCAGTGTACTGTAAACAGAAGGTAATGATATCTTAATCTGACTTTTCTCATACACAGAAAACACTCTGCCTAATACTATATAATGAATAGTCATTTTACAAATATAACTATAGTTACAATTTAATCTTTTAAATCAAGATTAGACAGGTTATATATTGTGTATGAGAAGAATATTAAGATACCATGACTAAATTGCAATCATGGTTGTATTTGTAAAATGACTGTTCATTTATTGTGTTCAGAAGATTGCTTCCTGTGTAAAATGAAACTGTTGAAGATAACATTAAGGTGGAAACTTTAGTTACCAAAGTTTTAAGTTCAGTTTCACGAAGCCTTCTATAACAATTTCTATACTATCCCATAATATCAATTACCAGTTCATTTGTACATAGACAGTATCTTAGAGCTGTTTACATGATTAAATATAAAGTCAAACTGTGATTTCTATTTACTCATTTATTTATCTGAAATTCATTTTATTTTCTATCATATTTTATATGTATCAGAGTACTTTTAAAATTTTTGTTCTTTTTTTTTTTTTTTTTTAAACCTGGTAGGCAAGGATTGCTAAATTCACCTGGTAGGTGTAGTGGGCTCTCCTACTTGTGGCTATAGTCAGGATCACTGAGAATTTCTTGGAAACGAGGTTATCCTCTAGTGTTATAGTAACTGTTTCTCCTTATAATTGCTGAAAAACTTTTTTGAAGGCGTTTATGTTTCCTGAATGCCTTTTAGTTCTTGAATAGATAATCTGAAGATAGATTATAAAGTCAGTGACTTAAAGTCAACAGAAATAGTACACAAGTATTGAGTTACCTTAGCTAAGTAAACCAGTTCCTAGATCCCGGGAGATGGACATGCAGGTCAGGAAGTAGACATTGCCAGCCTGCAGCACTAGAGGTGCTCACTGCTGGGATGGTCTGCTCAGAATCTTGCAAGCTAATCATTAGATACGCAGATTCCTTTCCTTTTAGGCTGTACATCTTTGACTTATATTATTTAAATTGTTTTAGTAACACATTGGGAAAAAATATTTGCTGCATGTATGATGAAGGGTTGGTATCCTTTATGAATGTGGATGTTTTTTCAAACAGTAAGGAAATGATGAACACACCAATAGACAAATGGGCTGAGGCAATTCACGGAAGAAATACTAATGTTCAGTAAATGTAGTTTTAAATGTTAATCTCACCATCAATCAAATAAATTCAGTTTAATACAGTGAGATTCTACTTTTCACCAATCAGATTGGCAGAGCTTCAAAAGAATGATGATATCCTGTTAGCAAGGCTGTAATGCTGGGAATGTAAATGGGTATAACCTTTTTGAGTTTGCAAAGACTTACTTTTTTGAGATAGCAATTTCAGCTGTTGAGGTTTATAACCAAAGAAATAATTAGGCTATGTGTATCATGAAATATGTCCCCAAATATTCATTGGAGTATTGTTTAAGATAGTAACAAATAAAAAAACTTAAATATTCTTCAATAGGAGATTCGTTAAATAATGTCTATGTGTCTATAAAACCCAAATAAATGTCTATAAAATCATTTAAAATGTTATACAAGTACATTTGTTGTCATGGAAGGATGTTCATAACATGTTAAAAGAAGCAGAATGTTAAAAAAAAGTAGTATGCATGATACTGTTTATGTTTACACACGTCAGAGTTTATATATCAGGGTGAACTATGTGGACTTGCCAATATTTGACCTTTTTTTACCTTAAAAAGCATCAGTTTCATATGGTTCAACCAGATAGATAGATAGATAGATAGATAGATAGATAGATAGATAGACAGACAGATAGAAATCTTAAGGACAAATACAGTGTAAATGCTATGTAAATAGTTGCTGGTGCACGGCAAGTTCAAGTTATGCTTTTTGGAACTTTATGGAATTTTTAAAACATATTTTCCATCTGCAGTGGTTGACCACATCATCATTTTAATGGAGATACATGTTATTAATCATCTCTCATCTTTCTTTGAAAATAAAGATTGTATAACATGCTTACTTTTATTTCTCTTTGAAGAGGTTAATAATCAGCTATGTGTACAAGAGTCTAATGACCTTTGGAGGTTATCAAGATGATTTTATGATAGTCATTAACAATGCACATTCAAAGGACAAACCAACAGAGAAATTACTTTTTGCCATGGCAAAACCCAAGGTGAGTAGAAGGCTTTATGCTAACTTTCTTTATGCTAGTTTTTTTCATACTACAACATATATTGTACAAAGAATAAGTTCCTCACGGGAAAACAGACTCTACTTACAATCAAACAACCATAGGTCCAAATTCTGGCTTACGTTATCTTTCTAAACCTTGGTTTCTTCATCTAAAAAATGGTATGATGCTATGATGCTACCTTTTTTTTTTCTGGATTAAGAATAAAATTAAGGAATTGTGAAGTATTTATAGCCCGGTGCCTGGTACACAGAAAGTTCAAAATAAGTGGTCCTGGCATAAGTTGTTATTGTCAGGTACTTCATACACATTACCTTATTTACTTGGAGTAATTCACTTTATAGACTCATTATTGAGAAGAGTGAGGTTTTAAAATTAAGGCATACTTGTTTCTTTACTATTTTTAGCCAACTATGTAGTTTTAATGTCCCTCAGTAAAAGCAATAAATAAAAGGGCTGCATTCTAACATGTAACTCTGATTTTAGGAAAAAGAATGAGAAATTATTTTTTCCAAGACTTTGTCTTAAAATTCTCAACTAAAAGAGACTTTTTTAGAATTTGAAACTTTAACAAATGACATATATGTTTCTTAATTAAATCTGTACTTGAGTGAAGTCTGTAAGTGTAGAAGATCATGGTAGACTCAGTGCTTTAGTTTAAAGAGTTGATATAATGCACTGAATTTCTTATTCATGTATTCACAGATGTGGCTTTAGGATAACTGGTAGAATTGTACTACTGTCAGATTTTCTAATGTTGCCACTAAATTTGATTTTTTTTTTTAAAGTATCACTTTCTGCTGGTTTAAGTAATGGGAAAATAGGTCAGTGCCTTGATGGTGCTGAACATGGAAGTACAGTTGACTCTTGAACAACATGGGTATGAACTGCACGGGTCCACTTACGCATGGATTTCTTTTCAGTAGTAAATACTACATTACTACACAATCCATGGTTGGTTGAATCCATGGATGTAGAACTGCGGACACAGAGGAACCGTGGCTACAGAGGGGCACTGTAAAGTTATGCATGGATTTTTGACTGCTTAGAGTGTTGGGGCCCCTAACCCCTGTGTTGTTCAAGGATCAACTGTACTGCACTGCTTGATCTGGTTAAAAGGGAAATCTGGTAGCCTGGGCACTTGCAGATGGAGACCACCCATGGCTAACCCTTCTCTCCCTTTTGGAAGTGATGAGAACTTCTCAGGAGAATAACAGTTCCATTTTTCTTGTTTTAGATTCTTGAAATCACTCTTTTGATCGCCAGCTACATAAACAACTTCTATCAGCAGAAGGCGGTTCACCACCTCTCTGCTCCAGCGCTGCTCTCAGCTCGGACACAGGGTCCTCAAGCCAGGGTGATGGGAAGCCAGCCCCTTCTGTCAAGCAGACCAACCAAAGGCCCCACTTTACTCTGAAAGCTCAGGGGCCTGAACATTCACTCCCTGTCCTCTAACCAATGGCTGCATCGTCTCCAAATAAGTTCATTTACATCCTGGCAGCATGGCACACACACAGTAGTAGTCTATTCTTTAAAAATAATGAGGGTTACTCTCTTTCATTTGATTCATAAATATTCAAATGAATGCTAGTAATGAGACCTAAACACAGATTTTCCCATGTGCTGATTTTCTCTTAGCTTAACTGGGTTAGAATTTGCCATTTTTTTCCATCACCTTCTCCTTTGCCATCAGACACATCAAGGCTTTTTTCTCTTTTTTAAAAACATATTCTAACAATCTTTAGAAAGTGAGATTCAAGGGAGTTTTTCCAAACACTCATTTGGCAAACCAGTTGATTATTTGGAAACGCTCATTGCCAAAATATTAAGTACTGTAATTAAATGTGCTTTTAATTAATGATATGGTGTTTAGAAAGAAGTAGAGTATACAGTTTAAGAAACAGCTGCAGGGCGGTGTTAAAGGGTAAATTTTAGAGCAAGTGCAGTAAGTCTTCTGGCCCTATGAATCATTGTGTGAGAAAACAGGAGCTAGGTAACCAGAACCTCCTATGTGGTTTTAGAAAGTGTACCCTGTCACCTTTTCAGATCACTGGAGTGTAAAACTTAAAATGAGACAGTGATTCCTGACATTCTTTGGCTGTCAGCGTAACCCAAGTTCACTGGAATATTGCCCACATTTCATTGCATTGGTGCTGGGTCATCTTGACCTTGCTTTGTTAAATAATAATATCTATGAAAACAAAGACCATTCTTAAAGCTTTGCCTCATACAGGCCTTTTAAATTATAGTTTGAAAATAAATTCCCAAAAATATTTTTTAAAAGAAAAGAGAAAGTAACTCTTCTGTCAAAGGAGGTAAATTTTTAGGTGAAAGAGCCTAGAAACGTATTACTTTACTAGGTTACGTAAGTGGTCAGTACATTCCGGTTTGTGTCAAAATAAAGTACTTATTATTCATGATAGAAATGAAACTGTGATAAGACATGAAAATTATATTGCAAAAATGTTTAATTGAAATAGTAATCATGAGTATACTTAATTTTATTTATGTGTAGAATATTTTATATTTATATTTTGGACATACATATATTTATCACTCTGTGTATGGTATTTTTTTAACCAATTGGAAAAAAGAAAGTTAGCTGCTGAATTAATTTGTTGGCAGAGCCTTCATGTTTTCTTTTTTGCTGCTTTCTCCCTATGGCAATGTACTGTTCTCACAATAAGCCTTTTAAAAAATGTTCCATCCCATGTTAGCATCCTTCGAAAGGACAGAGCCAAGAAGTATACTGATCAAGTAAGATTTTGCTTTATTGGTAATGACAAAGGTAAAAAAAAACCCATAGAAATAGATTGCCATTTGCTATTTCTCCTAAATCTTTTGAACCACAACCACTCACTGGGTAAGCAAATTAATTTCTGAGAATAAATTGGTTACCAGTTTAAGATGACTCTCAGGGGCCTTTTGGCTGGGATACAGTAGTTTCTGAGTTCCCAGAAAACCATTTAATAATCATTAGTCGGTGAACCACAGGCTTGGCAGAGCTGTTATGTATGTGTGAGGACTTTATTCTCAGGCAATAGTTAGTTCACCATCTGGCAAGCCCCCCCAAAATCTAATTTAAACAAGTAGTGAAGGCTTAGCTTAAATGGTAGTACCCTAGACTTGGCATTTATTTTTGATAGAGCAGAGATAAAATATTTTGATGGAAAGAAATCAATTTTCTGTAACTGATGATGTGAAAATTTTATTTTCTGGGAAATTACTTTTATATAGCCATTTAAAAAATTCAAAGTATGTTATTATGATTGGTTACAAGAGAATAATGTTACATGTTTAATTGTAATATTTGTCTCCTATCATTTTCTTCCCTTTCAATCATAATAAATGATTTACAAAACCCATTTCAAGCATTATCTTTTGAATAATCTTCAAGAAATACCTAATGTTTTCATTGTCAAAGCTGAGGTGTACTACTAGTGAAAATGGTAGTTATTACCTCCTTCTCTTGTACTCATGCTTTGTCTTCTGTGTTGCTTTGTTTTATCCACATAAAAGGAAGCTGTTTTGGCAAATTGTAAGTTTCATATGTATGTACGCATATTGACACATATACAATATGTATAAGTCATGGGGTTCTCCCATGATTTCATAATAAGCTCCTTATAGGTAAGTTGATTGGACTGTGTCTAAAATTTTATTTTAAATGCTCTAGATTTCTGTGTGTGTCCTTAAAGTCAAATACTGCCATAGCTTAGAAATGAATTTAACTCTCAATTTACAAGAAAAGTTAGTCACAACTTATAAAGTATTTGCTTGAAAAATGTGTTTATCAGTGGTTGTTTGGACATTTTTTCCGTAGGAAAGAAATACATGGCAGTCAGGTTCCTGTAACAACACTTGTAACCCATAATTGTACTGAAGTATAATCCTGAAGAATTAACCACTATGGATAACCATATTTCTCTAGAAAAAGGCTTTAAGTTGTCCTGAGATGCTGAGAACACATTTCACCCATCCACCCACTTCCTAGCTGTCATGGAATTTGGACTTCACTGCAGAGTCTCTGGGCTGATTCCAGGGGAGCAAAGGCTTTGGTAATGTGGGGAGTGAGGAAGCAAAAGTGAGTAGCAAGACGAATAAGGTGGAGAAGATTTTCTGCTAACTGGTTCATGCAGGGACCGCATCTCCTCTCACATTTCCCCCTATTCTCTTTTTCCTAAAGGAAAAAAGGGATTCTATTGCTACAAGAGTACTTCATTTAGCAGGAAATATGCCAGTTTCCTCCAGAGAAGGAATGACTCGATTCTCCTAATTCTTGTTTGAGAAATTCCAGAAAAAGACTCTGACTGGCCCAACTCAGGTGTTTAACCTCAAACACTCATATTAGGAGAATGCTTAAGTAAATTATTAAAAATCTACATAGTGGAACCTTATGCAGCCGTCAAAGCTATGTTTATTATGGGTTTTTAAAAAATTGATATGGGAAAATACATGTTAAAATCAGAATGTTAACAAACTTTACAGTAAAATCTCAACTCTGAGAAAAAAGATTGGAATAAAATACATCAAAATGCTTAATAGTTGTTACTCCTGGTATTTGCTTATTATACCCTCTTAGTTTTTTCTGTATACTATTTTTTTCTACAATAAGCTCATGTAACTTTGAAAACAAGGAAAAAATATAAAAACTCTCACTTTCTGGGCTATTGTTAATAGCCTCTGTATGGACTCCTAGACTCCAAAGCATCCCTGACACAGCTGCAAAAAATTATCTCATTGAAACTTAGGTCTAGCCTTGGCACACCCCTATTTGAAATCTTATTTGGTTTCTCATCGCCAACACAGTAAAATCCAGACTGCAAGATCCTTCACTGTAGCTCAAACTACCTGTCCAGTTTGCTCTCCCACCTTAGCCCCACCAGGCACTTTATATGCTTCCACCCCAAACTATTCACAGGTCCCCAAATATACTCTGCACGCACCTTTATCCTTTTGCACTGTTGTTCGTTTCATCCAGGAAGCAGCATAAAACTGTCTCCTCCTCCATCACCACCATTGAAATCTGTGAGTCTTCTTGGGCTGATTCAGAAGAGGAGCTCAAATCTTTGTATATTTTACCTTGAGAACAATTTTCATCTATCCAGGAAAGTCACTTTCTTCGTCCAAGTATGAAGCCTCAGGAGGCATAAGGGTAGAAAAGAGAACTCACCTGCTTAATCAGATCAAGGTGAATCAACTGAATCACTCCTGAATCAGTGCTGGTGATTAGGGCCCAGGCAGATAACCTTCACCTTCCTGGTTACCAGGCTCCCTCCTTCAACAACGTATCCCAGTTACCCAAATCATTATACTTTAAAATGCTAGTACTGTGCCTAGTCCACAGAAAACACCTGGCAAAATGTTAGCTGCCGTTATTGTCCATATCAATAGGGCTTCCCAACTAACATGCAGAGGGATTCTAAAGTTCCAGAACCCAAATCATTGCGATGCATTACAATTTGTCCCACATCAGTTTGTGAGTTTATAGGCAATGCTGATTCAATGATGGATATATCAGCCTCACTTGCTACCATCCTTTCTCCATTGACCTCCATTACTTCCCTTCTTATGTGCAGCTGTAGTCTTCTATGTCTCCAAAATGCACCTACGTGTTGGGAGAATTTTGTCCCCAAAGATTTTATCTGAAGTGAATGCCTTTTATTTCCTATGAACCATCTGCTTCATTTCCTTGTGTTTCTTTCTTCAAAGTTGCTGATCAGCAGCTTACCTCACCATAATAACAAGTATTAAGCACTTATAATGTTTCAGACACACATAAGTTATGTTTTACATGTATGTATCTCATTTAAAACTCATAATTTGGGCTTCCCTGGTGGCGCAGTGGTTGAGAGTCTGCCTGCCGATGCAGGGGACACGGGTTCGTGCCCCGGTCCAGG